GATTCGTAAAAGTCTAATAAAAACTATTAGATTATTTATATTATTAACAAGAATAAACTAATTGTAACTTAATTATCTTTTTGGTTAATTAGATAATAAAAATATATGAAAAATAATTACAAAATTTTAATTGTACTGTCGGTTGGTTACATGAAAGTTACAATACAGTTCATGTCTGATTACGTATCGACTCGTATCACTTGTCATAATTTATTAATACAAAGATCACTCTCTAATTGTTATCTTTTCGAAATATAATTATTAAATATTAATTTTATTATATATAATATATGTGTTGTATTTTTTTTTTTAATAATATGTACGTGTTATCCTTATAACAACACATAATTACAATAGAAATATATAAACAATTAAAATACTGTAAATCTTATTTCTGAATGTGATAAAAATAATAATTAATTTTATTATAACTTATCGCATTTCTAAATTTGTACGGATGGTTCATTAACACATATACCTATGTACTTACGCCCACGATAATATGCGTACGCTTCCTTGTATTAAACAATTAAGCCAAGACTATTAAATGCCCTGGTTCCTAAAAGCTTTCAAACGTATAACCGTTTAATGGACATTAAACACAATTGAGTGCACCTTTAGAAGTGATCGAGAATCTAAACACGTAGCTTAGGTTGGATTGAAGCGTCTTAACGTCTAAGTAATTTAGTATTGTAAAGTAATTTATGCGATGCAAAGCAATTTATACATTGTATGAAAGCACAACCGATAATTTAGAATCACGATTGTTAATAGTATAACCAATAAGACATCGAAAACAATTTATATTGTTTTTAAATAATTTTAGAAAAAATTCAATAGAAATAAAAAATTTAACAACACGATACGAACAAGAAAAATGCATTGTTTCGTATTTCTCTACGTGTAGATATAATAATTAGATAGAAAAAAAAAAATACTTATAATATTTTATCTTTTAATTATAAATGTATATAAAAATTGATAAATTGATTCCTCAAGACAAGGATATTAATTAAAATTAATCTCTTGCTGGACGTATTATTAAATTATAAAGTGAAGGATTGCATTTGCTTTTATATTGCATATATTATTATCTTGCCCTTTAATATTATTACATATTTTAATAATAAATGTCTCTCTTTTATTATAATATTTTTTATCAGATCACAAAAATTCAACTTATAAATTTCTTATTAGAGAATTGACTAATTAATGATTCCACCTTAAGTAATATTTATTCGATTCGCATAATGGAATATGTTAGTGTTACGCTCTAAAGGATACGATAACGAGCTACCACCTACCACTTTCAACATTTCAAATTAACGTTGGAGTGATGTTTGGCCAAATTATTTGACCTGATAAATAGTGAATATGTCTGACGAAGCGATTCAAATAATTTCTCTCTCTCTCTCTCTCTCATTTTCTTCTTTCTGTTAATCTAAAAATAGCCATGTTATTTTTGTAATATATATTAATTATCATCATCATGATCATACTTGAAATTCTTATAATTTAAAAATTAATCATTTACCAATTCATGTTGATATAATTTAATTTTTGTTACCTGCATATGAAGAATAATTCATTTCTACAATTTGGTCATATATTTTTCTTAAAATCAAACACACATACACATATAATGTATATTATGTTTACAATAAAATCGTAATTACGTGAATCGTGATTCATTAATGAAACTTTTGTATAAAGAATACGTTTCGTTGATTGTATACGTGTACTTTATGTAGAATCGTTTAAAAACATTAAACTCTACGCAATACGCACGAAAACGATTTGGCAAGCATCTTCGATCGTTTGACCGTTTAATCTTTTATAAATAGAAAATTTGCTTCACTTATTCAATGGTCAAAAGTGTTACTACACCTTTACCTGTATCCACATTTTTATATATATTACAATTTAATGTAATATGTATATATATATGTAATTGTTTATGAACAATGTATATCCCATTTACGATATTTTTCTAATTTTCAAACTTTTTTCCTACATGCATTAATTGATCGTTACGAAAATTATGTATATATTTATATTTGTGTTTGCAACTTAATTGCATTAACAATGATAATATAAATGAAAATTCTATTTGGACCAGTATCGCGAATGTGATAGTAGTTAATTACAATTCGTTTTCACGCTTCGCAAAGGTTTTTCAATTTCATACCTTTTGTTCCTCTTTTTTTTTTTTTTTTGTTTATTTTTTGTTTGCCTGTTACTCTCTAAATTTCAACGACTCGTGAACACGTAACTCAACGTTTTTAAGGATGGTTCAAACATTCACTATTATTAGTTTTTAAATACAATTATCATTGTTCGTTTTTATTATTGATTGCAATTTATATGGAAACAAGTATAATTTTGTGTAATAAATAAATATCTTGAAAATAATACAAATGTAAGAGTTAATTCTTTAATCGAACCAAAAATGAAGAACATTTAAATAAATTATACTTTGATAATGTTGCATTTATTAACAAATATAATACAAATCTATATGTATATTAAATATATGTTTGTCGTAGTAATATTATATTATTATTTAACGAAGAAAATAATCTAACCTGTCTATTGTACGTTCATTCAAATATTATTATGATAATTTTAATCTGTTTTACCAGTGGTAAGACAGTAGTAATGGTACATGGTGTGGTCAGACACAATCACATAAGCGGTTTCACAGGAATGCATGGATCCTCGGTAAATTATGCTGTAATACGATTGACCCTATCAGAAATCGAGAGAGAGAGAGAGAGAGAGACAGAGAGAGATAATAGAACGTAATGATCAATCTTAATCATTTTCCATCTGATTTGAGAATCCTCGATAATGATCAACAAATCAACTCGTTTGCAATGTAAGATTTTCTTAACTATTCACTTTTTATTAACTATGTTTAACACCGCAAAAGGTTAATAAAATATGAATAAAGGAAAATAAATAAAAACTATAGAATCACAAACTAAAGGAATAGAATGAAAATATATGGTGAAATAGGATTCATAGGAAATTCATATGAAAAGCTTCCCAACTTTCTATTCGAATCGATTCGCGATGGCTTTCATTTGGTCTACATATATATATATATATATATATGTGGAATACTACATAGGTTGAAGTTGTGTACGTTTCGTTAGAAACAAAGATTCAGCACAAAGCTTCAGCGAACAGAACTGCTTCATGGACAGCCGTGAACACTCGGATATCGATGTTCTCAATCGTTCTGTCCAAACAGGACGTTCGTTGTTTTAGCTTTACAGTCACGGCTTGACAATAAGCTTTCTCTTCTCAACTCCACTTCCTTTTTGTTTTTCTCGTTAGTATTTTACCCACTTCAATCCGTGTTTATCCGTTTACTAATCAACAATGAAAAATGTACAAAAGCAAAATATTCGATTTCATCATGATAGAAATTCGACACGATGATTTCTTATCTAGAACACGTTGTTGCATTGCTAAATTATTATATATATGAAATTATTAAATGAAAAAAAGAGAGAGAGAGATAGAGAAAAAATAAATTAAAATAAAAATTACTTTTCTATTTATCTCTTGCTACTAATTTTTTGTTTTGTTTTCTTTCAACATAATCTATCGTTATATCCAAAAAAGAAATCATGTTACCTTAGTTCGTTCGTGATCATTTGTCACGGCTGCTGTCCGCCATTCAGTTAACGAATTTTTACGTTCTGTCGATATATCTCCACGAACACACAACTGGACGTACGTTTAACTTTATTTTTAGATAGACCTAGAAAGTAAGAGAGAGAGAAAAAGAAAGGAAGAAAGAAAAGAAACCGTGTAAAGTCGCGTACATACATCATCGTCATATTCGATCGCAGTCATGTGCTTATCTTTTTATTTCCCTAATTTCTATCTCAATATCTTTGACGGAACGTCAAACAACTTTTGAACAAATTTGTGTTACCAACCTTTTTTTTCTCTTTCTTTCATTTTAAATTCAACTTTGACTTAACTCGGTAAGTAATTTGTTCCACCTTCGCTGCTGTAACAACTCGAGCACTTGAGCACTTTGTATCTCATTTAAAAATAAAACACGTGGGAAAAAAAAAAGTAGAGACAGGGTAAAGGTCAAAAGTCGAGGATTTCTTTTAAGAATCGAACATTTGTATATTATACGAATCCGTGTTTTAGAAAAGACATTTTGTTCCCGCGATTATTCGTTCACTTTTACCTCCTCTTGTGTGTAATTTTTTTTTTTTTCTACGCTTTTTATAACAAGATTTGCAATCATGCAAATTGCATACGTGCATGACCTTCAAGGAATATGATCTTTTTTTGTCGATCGATATCGGTCGGGATACTATCTTTCACTCTAAGTACGTTATTTATAATTTATTTACACATTATTATTATTATGGATTGTTACACGAGAAGGGAGGCCAATTAAGCGTTAACTCAGTAATACAATGAGTATAAGTTCCTGGAAAAAAAAAATACATGAAAAATAAGGGTAGAAGGAAAAAGGATTGATTACAGTACTGATCGATTCCTTTTTTTTAATATCCCCTATCAAACAAAAACTCTAAATTATCTGTATAATATTTTATTAACAAAAGAAATCTCATTTATTCCAACGAGATTTATTATAAAAACAAAAATTCAATGGGTACATACGAAAACTTGATATATGACATTTCACAACTGAATAATATATTTATACAAAATATAATAGAAAGAAGAAAATTTGGAAACAGCAGAAAAGGGACAATAAGCGAGCTTGGAAAATCAATATTTCATTGTCAGAAAGTTACTTTTGTGACATATCAAGTTCTTGCATGCATCCACGGAATATACACATATACATACACATAACCAATGATACACTATGACGAGAATAGTATATTATTGTTATAAGTGAAAAATGTAGGGATAGGGTTATACATCACATTTCATAAGTAGTATAATAGTAGTAATAATAATAATAGAACTAATTTATTATTTGTTTTGTGTTTCAGGTGTCATAAACAGAGGGGACTCTTTCAAACGAAGAAGATCACGATCGAATTCTTTGGCACCTGCGGAACAGGAAACGGAAGAAACAAATACCATGCCACCGAAGGAGGTCATATCATATAACGTAGCCATTTTGGGAGCAAGGAGAGTTGGAAAGACAGGCTTGATTAGCCAATTCATGACAAGTGAATGTATCAATGCCTACGATAGGCAAAGAGGTAAACTTTATTTGCATTTCATTTAAAAGTGTGTCAAGAGAATCATCGTCAAATCCATGTTCATTTCGTATCCTATCGAATAAGTTAGAGATACTACGCTTGAATATACTTTTTTTTTAAGAAGGCAATCAAAGTTAACCTAAAGAAATGATTTTAGAATTCGAAATCCAATAACGGAAATAGAAATAGAGAGAAAATTATTCAAAACGTGTTGTTGGCCAAATGTGTGTGTTGTTCTCCGAGTCTCTTTTCCAATCTCGATTCAATTTTGTTTTATCCCTTTGAAGTAATTGCTTTTCCAACATAAAACCCTTTTACTTTTTTACTCACTTTACAAAATTAATCTAAGGAAAACTCTTTTAGATAATCAAATCCCCTAAGTTTTCTTTTTCATTTATTTCTTACAATTTTTATAATAAAGTTTATTTCTCTCCGAATGAATAAAAAAATGTTCAAGAGGCTTGTTCTACTATTATATTTATATAAATATATCCTATATAAAAAGAAAAAACTTGATTATTAACATAATAATAATAATTTGCATTTAACAAATCTCAACGATTTACTACGCATGTTTGTTCGATTAGATCTCGTACAATTGATATGAACGCATCTTGTGTGTCTCGTCAGTCCCATATCATTACGTAAACGTTGCATATGTGCAAGGAACACGAATATCTTCCTATCGTATTCCATTAAATAATAACTGATTGTTAAAACTCTTTGGGAATGGTTTATCAAACCTGTTTTACTTTTTTTACTTCGCACGTGTGATCATCTCTTGCTATAAAATAACAATACAAAAAAAAATCATTCCATGGTAAGATTAAGAAATGAAAAATAATTCGAAAATTAGTTCTAACTTCTATCGATTTTGTTCTCTCTTTATCTCGCGAAAAGGGGAAAAATTTCCTTCTTAAAAATATCACTCATAGTGAATATTCAAGCCGTAAATTTCGAATAATACAGAATTCGCGTGGGTATCTGGGTCGAGGATGCTATATACTTTCTCAAAATGACTTGAATTATCGTTTTAACTTTGTCAAGCAACACCACAACTCGATATTCCTAATGCTCTTCCACCTGTTAAAACAGAAACACATATACACTCAACAATTCATTCTGATCTGAATATATTACTTAAATCATTTCAAATGTGTCACCAAAGTAATATATATTATTACAGATTAGGGGTTCACAAGTTTTCCAAATGATTTTAAAGGATACTCTATATTTTTATTATTCTTTTATTGTTCTTTTAGTTCTTCTTTTTTTCTTTTAATAGTAATCTTATATAAACAATATGTTTTTATTTTATGATGTAATCATTGCAACCTAATGGATCGTATATTATTAATAAATTAGTATAGAATAATATAAAATGAAAAATAAAATAAAATAAATCTTGTGTGTGCATAAAAAATTTTGTCAAAAAGAAATGCAAAAAGCTTTAATAGACACGACCGAATACATTAAACTAAAAAAATATCTAGCATATGTTTCATCATTCTCTATGAACTTTCTGAGCATCCTAATATATATTTCGTAAAAACTAAGTGGAAATAAAAAATAGATTATCCTTAGTTAATCCCTACTCTAGGATTTTCCAAGAGATTAAGTTAGTTATCACTCTCAGTGAGTGAGTTGACGCTTAAAGTTTAACCAAAGTTCCTTTTGAGTGTTAAAGTAGAAGACGAAGTACACACAATGTACGTATACACACTCTAGTTTGCGTCTGTAACACGTACCTATGTAAATACATACATGTGTGTGTGCACTTTAACGCTAGAAAGATACATTTTCACACGCCCACGTCATATCGTTCAAGGGTTCCTAGATGCTGAGGGTTACACCCTTTCTTTTATAAAGGTTTACTTGATACGATGTGCAATAAAACTGTGATGTGTATGATCTTACTTCGTTTTCTATATTCTTCTAATAAAAAGATGAAAAGTATACACTTTTAAAAAAGCATTGTATATATATATATATATATATACATTAGGTTGGTCCTTATTTAAATCATTTTGGAATTTTTTTGTTTCCCGTCCCCGTATATATCTTCTAAATACATAAAAAAAATAATTCTTGTAAATTTTTACCTCTTAATTTTAATTTAAACACATTCCCCAGAGTCGCCAAAATTTTAAATGAAAAGTACATGCATATTTTGTATTCATAATGCTTATAAAAATCATAATTCTGACTTAAAATTGATGAATCTGTTTGAAATTTTCCCCCCTTAATAATATAAAGAAACAAATCATTTAACTAATTTCCCTACTTTCTTTATTTTTACTTATCAATTGAAACGGGAAACCTTTTCTATCCGTAAAAAAAATATTGTTTAAAGAAGTTAAACGTTCGAGGAAGATTCATATGCACGAGTACCGAAAATCAGAAGTAAAACGGTTATGCTTGGCGGACTTTCCACGAAGGTATAGGAGAAAAGAAAAGTGCAGAAACAAAAAGAGAAAGAGAAAGAGAGAAAGAGAGAGAGAGTAGTTGATCGAAAATAGCTGTGGTTAATTTTGCGTTGGTCCGTGCTATAAGCGTACATCATAGAGAGGGTTCGCGTCTGTTCATCGTCTGTTCTCTTTCTCACTTGCACCACTCACACTCACACTCACACTTTTACTCACCCTCGCATATCTTTCTCTCTCTCTCTCTCTCTCTCTCTTTAAAATCCTTTTTTATGAGTCTATAGTACCGTCCTTTGTCGGTTCTCTCTGGTTCGTACAACCTATGGCGTTTGTTTTCTCGACAAAAGATGGCACACTCTCCTTTCCTTCCTTTTACTTTACTTTACTTTACTTTACTTTACTTGACTTAACTTAACTTTACTTTTACGTTATTTTATCTTCAAACCTAAACGTCATTTTTCCTTTTTCGTTTAACTACTCGAACACTTTATCTATGAGTCCTATGTAGTTAACGTCAGAAAAATAAATTTTGATTCTCTCGCGAGTACCATACATGGGATTCGAAATATCATCTTTTATTTTCTGATAAACAAAATATAACATTTTCACATAATCTCTTTTTCTTTTTAATCATCGTCTCCTTGATTTATTTCAAATTAAAATAAATTCTATAACATATACATCGTTGTTTTAGCATATTTTAATATACTTAATTGCTAGTTTCAAATTCACGTTAACGTACGGCACCGATATTATCCTGATTAATAGTTTCCTTGCAATCGAAAAGATAACAACGACAAATATTGCAAATAATAATAATAATAGAACAACGAATCATGTTTTATCGATAAAATATCTTGATTAACCATCATAATTGTGTTCGTCAAATACAAAAGAACATTATTGAGGATCGTACAAATTTATCCGGAATTTATTTTCTATTGAAAACAATAGAAAATTTTTTACAAAAATTTCACAAAGAAAAACCATAGGTACACATATATGTGTATATATATATACACGTATATAACTTAACTCTCTCTCTCGATTCGCATTAATTAGAATCAAAAAAAGAACAAAAAAATGGCGGATATGCTTAAGTTCGAAAATTTCTTTCTTTTTTTTTTGTAAAAATATACGCGCAAGAGTTGGATTTATTGCATGGCATACTTTGCTCTTTCAGTTTCCCTTTAACGAACTCGCTTAATACCATCGTCATTTCACAAGAGAAAAAAAAAAAAAAGAGGAAAAGAAATAGTAGTAAGAGGAATATTGCGAACGGCTAAACGTCGTGCTAAATGCGTCTGCCTTTATGATAGTAGAAACTGCTCCGACAAGCTTACTGACTACTGCTGAACGTTAACCTCCGTTTTCTGGCAACCATAACTGTGTAAGTCTTCAGCCAAGACATACAATAGCGATTCAACAAAGAAGGATGTGTTTGGAAGAGATTGACCTGAGTAGATCAATTTTCTTTCTATTTTTCTAATTCTTTCTTTCTCTCTCTCTCTCTCTCTCTCTCTCTCTCTCTCTCTCTCTTTTTAATCAAATATCCTATTTAAGTTATCTCTATTTTTTGTATATTATTATTATTGAGAAAAAGAGAGAGATAGAGAGAGTATATTATTTTTTTATTATTTATAGGATATAATTATATAAGTATAGAAACAAATCATATTAATATTATGTTTATTTATAAATTTAAAATCATACTGGAACAAATTATTTTAGACAGATATAATATCTTGTTTTTTTAAACTCTCCCTTTTACTTCATTCCTTTACTTAGAGGTTCGAGTCATTTCCTTTTCTAAACAACACATGGTTTTTATCGTTTGTTTTCCTGGAAGGGTTCACTCATCCATATTACTATTGTGTTCACGTTGCTTGACTTTAGTAATCCTAAAAGGAAACTAATAATCCAACGTGGTTAGGCCGTTGACTTATATATACACACACATATATATATATTTTTTTCTAAAAATAATATTATTAATTAAAATATTTCATTTGTAATTTACATATTTATTGTAATAGAATTGTTAATACTATCGAACTTTTAGATTCGATTAATAAATTCTAACAAACTGTTAATTAATATAACACACGCAACAATAATTAAAAAATAATTGTAACCATTTTTTTAAGTTTGAAAGTAATTGTGAAAGTATATATATATATATAAAACTAAATGAGAAAGTAAATGAAAATAAAGTCCTTGGGTTTTCCCCAGTTCTTTCCCTTTGAAAAGTTTTTCTTCTTCAATTTCTCTCTCTCTCTCTCTCTCTCTCTCTCTCTATATATATATATATATATATATCTCTTTTTCTTCGTCGAATCCTTTGTCTCTCATTTAGGAAACAATTCATCCTTCCTTGGTCTTTGTTACAGATGTCCCAAGCGAACAATCCGTTTTTGTGAAACTCGATGGAGAGGAAAGCGAATTGATATTTTTAAATATCCCCAATCCAAAGGTAAGAGAAATATATTTCTTGAAACAAACACAAAAAAAGAAAAGAAAATATAATCAAATGAAAAAAATTCGAATAGATAATTGAAATTATTGACCTCCTGACCGATCTCAAAACAATGTGTAAGAATAAACGCAAATATATATTAACATTAATAATTGTTTTAATTGATTTCAGACGGAATTGGAGAAGATACCACCACCTGATGCTTTTGTAGTAATGTATTCGGTAATAGACAAGGCATCCTTTCAAAGAGCAGAACAATATTTGGCTTACCTTCGTGATCAGGATCTTGGTAAACCGGTCATTCTCGTGGGTAATAAGGTTGATCTAGCACGTTCTCGAGTCGTTCCATATTCAGGTTTGTAAGATAACAAGAAAATAATAATAATATATAAAACAATCAATATTTTCGTTTCAATGAATTAGAAACATCAGCGATTCTATTCGAAAATTTTCCAAGTTCGATATTAGGCCTCTGTAATTTTACGATTTGGACATTAAATTAACTTACAAAAGGTTTTAAAATAAAATAATCAATATTGAAAATCATTTGAAAACTTATGTCCCATCTTAATAATTGTTTAACCATCCGATATAAATAAAAATGAATTTAATATATATATATATATATATTTCTCAATTTTGAATTTGTTTTTCTTTTTACCAGACGGCAAGGATAAGGCTTGTAAGTATCGTGCAAAGTTCATCGAGGTATCGGTTGGTATAAAACACAACGTCGACGAATTATTGGTCGGTATATTGAAACAAATACGGCTAAAAATTGATCAAGGCCAATTGGAGAATCAAAGTGGTGGTAATACTGCGAGCGAGGGAAGCGGTGGTGGTCATTGGTATAATAAATCTGGAGTTGTGGTGCGAGCTAGCATGAAGGCTAAACAAATGTTAAATTCGCTCTTCAGAAGAGATGATAGCAAATTTAAAAACTGCGAGGATCTTCATGTGTTGTAGACTGGTAACAAAAAAAAAAAAGAAAGAGAAGAAAGGAAAACAAAAGGACAGACAATTTTTATGGGGATTTGAATTAAGAGAAAGGAGGGTGCCTCTTTGCCTTCTTGCTGGATACGTATATATTAAATGTTACATAATAATTTACAAGTGTTACAAAAGAACATTCATTTGGGATGGTGAAAAATAACAAAAATAAATATATTCGAAGGAAAGGAAGAAAAAACTATATATATATATAAATAAATAAGAATATATGTCGCTGATAACAGCCAAACGAAAGATACATTTTTATATTATAATCCAAGTGCCAATCTATTTCATTTCAAATTAATTTTTTTTCTTTCTTTCTTTTTTTCAATCGAGTGTGTCAGTCGTTGACTCTACTCCCCCTCCCCCCTCTCACCCCATCACGAGAGAGATTAATTTCGTTTGATTTAAATCGGCGCTTAGCGAACATATTCTGACGTTAAATATTCAAATAATCTTCTCGTTAATCACTATAAACGTGTTCCGTGGTTATTATTATTATTATATATATATATATATAATTGTAAGATTTTTTTAGGATGTAAGCTGTATTATATTATATCATATATAATATACGAAACGTAGTTTTTCTCTTTCGAAAATTTGGATTTTCAAGGAGAAAACTAACGATTCGGTGTCGACCAAAGAAAAAATAAATCAATAAATATATGGATCAAATCGATATAAGAACGGACGTATATAGAAAAGTCAAATATTGGACCAGGGCATCAAATTAGCGAGCTATTTAAATTAATAAATTTCTGTAATCTGTACAATATGATATCGAATGAATTTTTTTTTCCTTTTTTTTTTTCTAAGCCATAAATATATAATACATATATATTTATATAATCTTTATTACTCTTCCTTTTACGAGTTTGAAGGGTCCGTTCCGTTCCCTTTATAATCGTTTAACAAAAAGTCTTACCATATAGGTATGTGTAAGTATATAATAATATATACATTATTATATACATATACATTGATATATTATATATTTAATCTTACTATTAGATAATACGAATGTACACTATTACATAGAAAATATTTCAAAGTTTTTCAAAGTATCGTGTTGCTGTTCTTTCATGTTCTTTCTTAAATGAGCAAAAAAAATAA